GGAAGGAAGGAAGGAAGGGGGGGCAGGCAGGCAGGCAGGCAGGCGGGCACCCTCAAGAAGTCAGCCATAAACCTTGCACTAGCTGGAAGCTGGCAGAGAGTCACAAACACTATGAATGCGAGGCCCCGTGGCAAAGCCACTGCCTGCCTGTTTCTCCAGGGGCTCCTGTAATGAACCTCATAGGGGATTGCCATGGTGTTGGTAGGCCAGCTTGTAAACTTGCCCTGCTCTTCTTCTAGCAACAGCTGGGTGAGCAGAAAGCAAGTGCATGACATTTTAACTCCCTCCCATGGAGTTATTATTGTTGTTCTGCTTTCTGACCTGCCTTTCTGCTCAAAGGACACTGAAGGAGGCTAAGAAGAATCAGAATAGGACCACCAAATCATTCTCTCTCTCTCTCTTTCTTTTTCCTTCCTTCCTTCCTTCCATCCATCCATCCATATCTTGGAAGCAGTACAGAAAACCCTCTCTCATCAGGCCTCTTAAAAGGAAGGCATTTTTGAGAAGCTGTTTTCCTCTCTTATAGATTTATCTAGTTCTGCATTTGACACAGACAGTATATACCATATTCTCTCTTTGGACTTCAGAAACCTACAGGGTGGCTTTCAAGAAGTACATTAAACCTCTCCTCCCCAAATCAACGAAGACTTAGAAAACCAGCTGCAGGAAAGAACACAGGAAAAACTGTTTGTGAAAGTGCTATTGATTTAAGAGCTCTTCAAGTGCCTTGTGCTCTGAAAGAACCCTAAACACCCATGAGAAAACAGGCAGATTCACTTTGTCCCTAAAATCCACTTTGTAGTTCAAGTGGCCGACGTTGTGCAATGCAGAGAGGAACTCATTGCCAAACTTGAACAAAGCTATTTAACATTTGAGCTGCATTTTAATCATCTGTCTTTTTCTCCCCCAGCGCTTCCACTTGCCATGGCGAACAAAGATCACCAGCTTCACAACCACTCCCAGGGGGAAACCTTGAACTCTCTCTGCCATAATATTCTGAGTGTCAACTGCCACCCTCTGTCAAAGAGCTCCACAAACCTAGGAGACATCGAGCAAGGAGGTTTTGAAGAAGGTCAGAGCAACAGACGGGACCTCCGAAAAAGCCAGAGCAGTTCTGTCTGCCGAGGCCAGGAGAAGGAGACCACCGCTGGAAGGATTCCTGGCTCTTTGGCCCATCCGGAGAGCACATCCACGGTCAGAACCACGAGCAGCTTGTCTCCACAAGACAGTGCACAATGTCTCATCGGAAACAGAAGCCACTTCTTCAGTGTTGACCAGTCCCCAATGTCTGAAGAAGGGATGTGTACCACAACGTACCTCCAGAGCAGTCCTGTCGAGAAGTTAACTCCAGCCTGTGGTGCCAACCTCCAACAACGGTGGACAATGGAGGGTCTTGGAGTTGCAATCCAGAGGAGCCTCTCTGATCTAACATGTAGCTGCAAGCAACCGAGTCCCACCTCCCACATGGAGACAAGTGCCACATCTCCTGCTATATGTTCCAGCAGTAGTAACTTTGCTTCGGCGGACAAAATTGTTATTTCAGGACTGAGATATGGAGTAGACACTTATGAAAACGGCCCAGATTTTCAAAGCCATATGATTCAGATTCCAGGCTTCTCTAGAAACCACAACGTACCCACTAATGTCTTTCACCAAGGTGCTACATCACACAACGTTGCTATTTTTGCAGAACCTGGAGCATACCACACAACTGTCCTTGGTTCAAGCACAACCAGTTTCTCCAATAGGGCAATGCATACTCAGGGTGGAATAGTACATAGCAACTTTTCAACGGGTGTGTGCCCACCTGGAATGGTGACCATTCACAACGATACTCCTCTGCCCTACAACATAAGCCATGCATCTGCTGTGAAGGAAGAGGGCACCATTCCTGCCTACTGCCATACCTTACCAATAACTTCTCTTCAGTTTACCCCTAGGCTGGTATGCCCAGTTAATGAACCGGGCAAAAAACAAGTCAGCCCTGAGTGTTGTACATCTTCGCTTGCTACTGAAGTCTCCTCTGTGAATGGGTCAGGCCTGGAAGCCAAGCACATCCTGCGATGCTGTAGTGCGCATGGAGGCCGTGCGCTGCATTCTCAGCCTTATGCAGAAGCAAGCAAGGGCCAAGAGGAAATGAAGACCATGTATGTGGTACTGAACAGCCACCAAGACGGTGTACACACAGTCATGAAGACAAAGGACACGTGGACAATGACCTCTATGAATGATATCACGCAGGGATTCCAGATTCCACTGGACTGTAGAGATGCGGAAGTACAAACTTTCCCAGCAAGGGAATGCAAGTCTGTGGCAACAAGCCCACCTGTTCTGGCAGAAGGCCACCCTCATGTGTTCCCAGAGGTTAATCTGAAACCAGAGGCAGAGGGCGAAAAGTCTCCAGTGCGAGAAGTCAGGTGGGACGATGAAGGCATGACCTGGGAAGTCTACGGGGCAGCTGTGGATCCCGAGGTGCTCGGATTGGCCATTCAGAAACACCTTGAGATTCAGATAGAACAGTTCCAAACTGAACCGGCGGAGCTTCCGGGGAAAAACATGGAGGAACAGCCAGCTAAAGAGGAGAAAAGGATATCCTTTGGGATGGTAATGCACTGCCTGAGAAACCCAACCTGTTGTGCACGTTCCAGCATGGCAGTGGAGTGAACCCCGGCAGACACCATGAGGATCGTTCAGAAAACTGCCAGTGAACGTTGCCTCTTAAAGCTGGTGAGGGGAAGCTGCAGGGACCCCACTGTTTGCCCTAGGCCCCCAAAGACAGGGGGGAATGGGCCACCACCACCACCACCACCTCCTCCTTCTCCGCAGCCTCTCTTGAGTCAATGATCGCCACCACCATCTCCTCTTCCTCCTCTACTCCCCGGGAAGTGGGAAGTGGGGGGACGGGGGTTGCTGCTGGTCAGCCTCTTCCTGTTCCCCTGAGATCCTCCGTGGGCTCAGACCCCTCCTGCAGCAGTGGCAGGGAAGGAATGGCCACATGACCACCCTTCCTGGCTTCTCCTACCTCCAACCTGCCCTCAGCTGTGGCACCCTGAGCTCTGGGCGCCCAGAGAGCTCCACTTTGGCTCCTGTACAAAATAGGATGCCCCTTTGGAGCTGAACTGTAGGAATCTCCTCTCCATGTCACAGGTGCTGCGGAATATTTTCTTATATTCCCTGGGATTAGATATACACCACAGCAGAACAACGAAGGAGGCAAACTCTTCACTTCACTCTGCAGACAGGATGACATCTTACTTGCGGAAGAACCTTGGTGTGTTTGGTGGGGAAGATCATTCCATTTACATTCCTTGCTCCTCAGACTTGGAAGGATTTCTGCTCCCGCAACATTTTTGGATAGTTTCCTTCATTTCTGGAAGGACCGAAACGCCCTTCTTCCATCTGCATTAGCAGTCTGATTCTTTGCATACGTCCTATTTCATCATGTTTGTTGTGTATGCCAGTTTAAACATGGTTGAGGTACCTAAATATGAATTGAATACACATAGCAAAAAAAACACCAAAACAAACCCCTTTGCATCCAGAAGTAGATCTGGATGTCTAAAATTCATACGGAACGTTACAGAATATGATTGCCTTCTCTCTCTCTCTCTCTCTCTGCCTGCACCTTGTCAGGCTGAGTAGCAGGAAACTCTGCTCTGAGAAAGCAGGAATATGAGATTATTCCTCCTTCCCCAAATCAAAACCTCCATAGTTTCTCTTCACCTTTGATCTTCCGGAAAGACTGAACCGAAGACCTTTTTAAAAAAAATGACTGACAGCTGTTTGAGGATTCTCTCTACATTTATTAGAAGCTTCTCCTCCTGCTCCTGCTCCTCCTGCTCCTCCTTTTGAAAAAAAATAGAACTGTTGACTTGTCTATATTTCCACATAGAAATTGTGGCCTAGATTTTGTTCTGTCCCAACATTGTTTGTGCAATTGAAATGCTAGAGACAACCACATTTTATACTTTTCACACCAGTGCAAATAGCATGTAAGCAGTTATTAAATAGGCAGAAGAAGACAGAACACTTCTTCTTACTAGGTAACTATGGAATTAAGATGATCAGTCCTATAAATCTGTCTTTTCTTCTAGACAGGAGGCGTTGAAGTCCCTGCATAGTTCTGTCGACATGATACTTTGGAAGAACATTACCTGCAATTTCTTTGGTCCATGAGGACCAAAAACTCTTGAGAAAATCATTGCTTGGTGACACTGTTAACCAAGGAAAAAAACATACAGCGTTACCGGATTCATGAATGGCTAGTTTACAACGAATGCTTAACCTTAAGTTAACCTCCTGCTCTGTGATATAGCTACTTCTGTTTCCTGGCATTAAATGTAATTATCCTGTAGAATTGACGTCTACAAAACAGGCTGCAGCGGTTGAGGAAGGACAAACAGACAATGAATTCAATATCTTGCAAATTAAGATCGGGTAAATAAAACAGATGTTCGCTTATTTCAAGCATTAAAAGACTTCACGTCCTGTTGTCTCCGAGGGATATTCCACTTTGGGTGTCCGTGGGAGGGACGGGTGGTGTCACATGCACCGTGATGTCATTGTGCACCCGGCATCGTTCACATGATGATTTGTTGATGGATGTGTGTCATGGGTGCCTCGGCCTTCAAAGAGGGGGATCTTCTCTCCCTGCAGGCGTTGGATAAAAGGGTTTTCCTACAGGTAAGAGGGTTAGAGGGTGCCTCGTATGCGGCCTCGTGCTTGGAATGGGCTTAGCCAAGCAGTCATTTCGCTTTTCTCCAACAGGACGACGGGTGGGACTTGTATGTGTGTCAGGAGGGAACGAGCCCATGGACCTGGTCCTGTGGGAGACCTACGTCACCCACTCCCTTAACTGGCACGGCTGACCCAGACGCAATTCTGAATCTTGATGATACGAAACAAAGTGGGGCTTTTGAACTGGCTTTGTAGCGAAGAAGGAGAAGGAAGCCTTTCCACACCAGACTACAGTAGCTTAGAGATCGGAGACCCCTTCCTTAACCATCTCCTTGAGGGAGACTCTGCTCCATGGCTCAGGAGGAGTCTGGTGGCATCTTTGCAGAGCCGCAGCTCGCAAAAGCTTAGGCTTTTTAGCGAAACGGGTTAGTCTGAAAAGGTGCTTCCTGACTCCTTTTGATTTTGGGTCAACGTGGCTCTCCTCCTACACGGCTCCTTCTCTGCCTCTTGGAGTCAACCTGCAAGGGAGGGAAGGAAGGAAGGAAGGAAGGAAGGAAGGAAGGAAGGAAGGAAGGAAGGAAGGAAGGAAGGAAGGAAGGAAATAAATGAGAGCCTCTCAGCCGTCTTTGTAGCTGCTGACACGACCCCCCCGTCATCTGGCACTGTGTTCTGCAGCAACATGGAGGTGAATCAATTGACCCAGATGGAATGACTGGCCAGTTCTGTTGTGGGAACAGAGCCAAATCAGTTTTCCATCAAGGGTTGCATTTCTTAAGGGGAACATGACCTGTTGGAGTAAGGTGGCGGTACAGTCCTTCTCTCGGTCTCTCTTCTTGCCCGCTGAAGAGGCTTCGGGTGGAGGGAACAAGGGCTTTTGCCAAAAGTCTTGCACCAACCCTGGATTAGCCATTAAGCAAGATCAGACTGTGCTTAGGATCCCAAGGGGGGGGGGGTTGTGTTCCCTAGCTTTCACGCCCTTAACTCTTTCACTTGCCATGCTTGACTTTAGTCAATCTTTTTGTAATTGTCTTTGTCAGCCGTGTTCGACTTTAATCTGCATTGATTAAGAAAAGGTTTTCTTTGGCATGGGGAGTGACAAAAGTTTAAAAGTCCGAGTCTTAATGTCTTGTCAGTGAACCAGCGGAAGAGCCAAGGGACACCATTGCTGGGGTGTGCTTAGGGCATCCGTGGGGCTTAACCCGCGCCTGGTTTGGAATGAGCCCAAGGCCCTCTCTGGGTACAAAACCTGTAGATTGCCCATCGGTGCCCGGGAGGAAAATGCTTCACTGCCCTTCACGTCCACCTTCCGAAAAATCACCCCAAGGATCAGCTCCAAGAAGATTGCAGAGCCCTAAGCTCCAGTTTTGGTGCTCTCGGATGCATTAATCCCATTGAATATGTGGCCTAACCAGATGTTATCTTCCTGCTGATCGGATTCTCCGTGGATCTCAGCGCCTGCGTCATCTTAACTAAGGTTGGGGGAAATTTGGCATTGAGGGATGGAAACGATGCTTTGGGTTCGACCACAGACAATTTGGGAAAAAGAATAAGAACAAAAAATGGAATAACTGCCCGGGATCAATCTCACATCAGTTCTGGGGCTGGTCATTTAGCTATGTAATCCATCTGACGCTGTTAAAAACAGCGATTTAATGAAATCTGGGTTGAAAGCAGCCTGTCCTAAGCGCCTTCTTGGTTTCTGTGAAGAAGCTCTTTCCTGCCACCTGGTGCCCACCTGGCACACAGCCCCCAAAGTAAGAAACCCACCGCTGAATATTGCAGAGTTGTTTTAATCTGTAAAAACAAAATCCCAGAAGACAGCAAAGGCGTAAATTGAGAGCAACGGGTGCTGGCAGGGTAACAGGGCGGCTGTGGAGTCACGCAAGGCTTGTTCTCTGGGCTCCCAAATTAAATAAATGAAATAAATACAACTTAACCAACATTCAGACAAGCCAGAATGAGGTTGAATTACAGGCCTTCCGTGTTCCGTTCACACATCATGCTAAGCCAGTGTAAAGAGTTACCAAAGATGTAAATTTAACCTATCATAAGCAGGTTTGTGGATCAGGAGTGGAGGCTTAGCTAAGATTTAGTATCGTGTGATTTGCTCTTCTGAGAGTTCAGTTAGGAAAAATTTAAGTAAGGTCAGTGGTATACAGAAGCAGCTGCATTCTTTGCAGTTTATTTTATTTTTTCCTTCCAAATATCGCCTAGGTCCTGGGATTTCCTGGTGGTGCCCTTTCCAAATCCCGATCAAGTCCTATCCGGCTTGGATTCTTATGAGATCAGCTCTTCCCCCACAGGCTCTTCCTCAGCTGGGCTCCTGCTAGCCTCTATTCCACGGCCGGGAGATGGGCCGTCATGCATTTCGCTCCACTTGGGTTCAGATGGTTTTAACTGGAAAAATGGGTTCACTCCCATTCCCCAATTCTCCCAGGGAGAAGTTGCAGCCTTCAGGTTCCAGCGCAGACCATTCTCATTCACGACCCATTCCATTTCCCCTCTAACTGCTTCCATAATCTCACTCATTTCAGTCATTCATGAGTGTGTGTGTGTGTGTGTGTGTATTTCCCCTAAAATGATTTATTTAGGTATTTCTGCAAATCACGATGGATCCTTGAGTGTGGGGAGATACGTGCATGCCGTATGAAATTGTATCTGGAATGAATCACAACATCACAACAACGCCCCCCCCCATGCATTTTTGTGATCCTTTGCTCTAGTACAAGGCTTTGGAAGCATGAAAACG